AATTCGATACATTTATTTTTCGTTTGTTATTCTTTCTTACATCATTTTGTGTTAATTATTTTCTTTTTATTTATATATCTCGTTTGTTTGATTTTTCTCGTTTATCATTTTATATGATTCATACTTTTTGTTCCATTTTATTGCATATCCGCCGCACATACATCCATGTATGTATGCTCATGTTTATGTTTTGTACCAAGTCTATTTCTGCAAACAGTTCGCAGCCGAGTGTCCGTAAAAAGACACTTAAACCAGCCCAAAAGTTATCGCTACAAAACGCATTACAATGCCATGCCCATCGATGCACATAACTAAAATATCTCAATTAAAACACCCGTTGGATATGCAGAATTTGTAAATTCAAAATCTTTAAATACATGTTAAATTATTCGAGATTAGTTCTGAGGAAGGACAGGCGATCATGATTGAGCGATTGTTTCAGACAGCATAATATGAAGAACGGACAGAATTAGAGTTAATGAGACAATCAAACAAATAATTTTATTGGATATTGTAAAAAAAAAATTTAAAAATTTGAAGATTACATTCAATAGTTTGCACTAAACGGTTTAAATTTCCCATGTACTGCAGTTGATCTATATAAGGAGTTTATGTGCACTTTAGTTTTTTGTGCGATTTTTGAGTTGTTTAAAACTGCCAATGTGTTAATGATATTCATGCAAAAACGTTTCAATGGCCAATCACATCTCACCAGTAGCACGTTTGAACTGCACTTGTTTATAAACAAATAACTTAAACGAGAGTCAGAGAGAAAGGCAAACAATTCAATTCTAGATAAATAAAGACAGTAACCCCCAAAAGCTCTCCCATTAACCGACATAAATGCTACGCAAGTTCTTCGACCATTAAGGATAATGTTACTAATACCCCAATTCAAATCACATAGTTAATTTAAAAAGCCAACCAGCACTTGCATTCGATTGCATGAGGGATAAACATAAACCAGTGTTTTGGGCGTATATTTTTTTTTTTTTTTGAATTTGGTTGTTCTTTGTTTAACTGCGAACCAGCTAGTTCATAATTATAAATTTGTTACTTATCTTCCACTAATGATATGCACATGTTTTGTATATGGAATTTCTTTTCTGTTTTTCTGTTTTTGTTTCTTTATCCATTTGTTGAACTGAAAGACTTTCAGAAGGAAAGTATGTACTCCCTATGTATGTATATACAACGAACACCTAACACACATGTAACGTACACCCAGGACTTTTGTTAATGAACGAACTCGAACTCGCATATGCACCACATCGGTCCGATGCACTCCGATGCAATCCCCCCAAGTTGTGGTGGTTCCGTTGGGTTCGGTGGATCAGTGGATCAGTGGATCAGTGGCTCAGTGGCTCAGTGGATCGGTGTGGATGCCAGGCAGTGGGGTGCATATGCCTGTTCGGTCGATTAGCTTAGACGCTCGCAATGCATTGCTAAAACATTTGTATTCCTACCCATATTTAGTTAGTATACATACTACGTACCACCATACTACTTACATATGTACATTGTGTAATATATTCTGAATGTGGCTCAGCCTTAGAAACAGTGAATGACTGGCTATTCGGTCGGAAATATACGATAAACAATTTTAAAGTGTCAGTGTCATCAATGTCTCGAGTTATCATGCCTGACAATCGATTGATCAATTACTATAAACTAAATAATACGGAACTCTAACCACCACATCGATTGCAATATTCGAACTCAAAATCCGCCTTTGATTCAGGTGCAAAACAAATACAAAACTATACATACAAGCATATGTGACAACGTGCAACAAACATGTTATACGGAACTGAATCCATAATCTGATTGGCCGGCATCCCAGCAACCGGCCAACGTCTGTCGCTTCCTCTCTACGCTCTCGAAATCTCCGTCACACCTTTAGTTTGTTTTATTCTCGATTGATTTCTTACAAATGCATATATACAAAATATTACGTAGTTCTTTTAATCCTGTATATCCACGTTTGCTTTGTACAACTATGTACATCCATTATATATCACCTCACGCTAGGAAGGCTCTTTTGTTCTTGTCTCTTTCTTTCATTTATTAAATACATGATTCAATTAATTACGATAATGCTCTCTTTGACAACAAAAAAAAGAAATGCAAAAAAAAAAAAAAAAAGGACAAAATATGTGAAATGTACCATGTACTGTACACTGTACCTATCAGTTGAAGAACAATTGCGTTTACTTTTCTTTTTCTATGAAGAAACATGAAAAATGAAACTTACCATTATTCCGTTTTATTCTTATCTGTCTTCTTTGGTTTCATTTCTGGTATTTGTTTTACCCATTATTAATATTTTTTCCAGCCGTGAATAATTTGTTTAAAATTTTTTCTTTAATTTTAGGCCAAACCAGTAATTAACAAAACAAGCATTAACTACTTCTTGTTAATAGTTCTAAAACTGAAACTGAAACAAACGATTCCCCTAGAGTAAACGCGCGTGACGGAGAGGTTCAAATATGAACAGACAGACACAGATATGGTCGAATCCAATCGGATCGCTCGGATCGGATCGGATCGGGATACTGTTCAATACTGTTCCCGTTGCCGTTGCCGGTGCCGTTGCCGGTCCAATATCGCTTTCGATTACGATTTCAATTTCCGATTCCGGTTTCGATTCGATTCGAACCCCTTCAAATGAACACCGACAACGTTGAGTTCCGTTGCGTTAATTGAAATTTCACAAATACGCCTATGTTTTATTACAATTATTAACTAATTATACATATAAATTTATATAAATTAAAGATACATATACATATATATTTAAAAGTAAAGCAACCACAAACAGAAATTACGAAACCCTTTGTTTTCATTGTTTGTAAAACGATGCGAGGAGCGACCAGCAAACGGCAATACAAAATAAATATAAAAAGTATAAAAAATACAATACAATACAAAACAAAACGAAACCGAAACCGAAACAAACAAAAATCAAATATGATATGCAAGATCTAACTAATGCAATAATCAGAGAGAATCCTGACTACTATTGCTGTCACTGTCACGATTATGGATTATATTAACTACTAAATATTACACCTACGAGTACTACCTAAACTACATATATATTTATGTTAAATGCGTATCGCAATTATAGTTAATAAAATAAATAATATCACTGAGGAAGTGAGCGTGAGATAAAACAGCAAAAAGTAAATTAACTTAAGCCTAACTCAACTAAACCGATCTAAGCTGAACTAGAGTGCGTGGTGTTATCGCCTACATCATTATCTTATAGTGACCACAATAAAACACCAAAAGAAGTTGCTAATTTTGTAACGATGATCTTGAATTTTTTATTTAGCGCTCTTTGTATTTATATGTATGTGTATGTATGTATGGATCTGTATTTGTATTTCGATATGAGCTTGATTTAAATTGTATCCGTGGATCATACAATCAGATATCAACCAACCAATCAACCAACCAAGCAGCCAGCCAGCCAACTAACGATCTTGCAATTCATAATCACCCACTGTTGCGCAGAAGCTGAACTCTAAGCGCAGAAAGCCAGATGTGCAGCGTATCTAGTATTTAAGCATACCACGTAGTCACTAAAAAAAAACCACAACAATACAAAGCGATACATAAAAACTAATTAAACTTAAATTCAAGGAATAACAATGTATTACCATTAGTGCATGTGACCATTTTATTTGTACAGCTGATTATCTATAGACCGTGTTATCATCGGGCGCCTTCAGTGGCTCGATCAGTAGTTATCTATACATATTAAGTTTCAAAGAAATAACGCATAATTAAAACAATTGATAATTTAATAAATCCATAATAAATGATGTGAAACATTTGTGAGCAAAAGAATATCCCTACACGCATTTTAATTTTATTTCATTATTCATAAACACTTGCATTTGCTGGCCATGAAACACTGGGTGCCGTTCAATTTGCTGGGAATTTAAGGAATTAAATAATGCTAATTTAAATAACACACATTTTGATCTTTTAGCAATTCAATTTGGGGGTCATTTGGATTTTCTAAAGTAACTGACCTATGATCGACCTTGTCTCTATCTAAAATCTCAATCAGAAAAAAAGTATGAGACAATAGAAAAGGATCAGAATGCAATGATCGCTTAAATTGTTTAACATTTTTAAAACTCCAAAAATTGTTTAATGCAAGAATCTTAATATCTCTAAAAACAATACAACTCTGCAATTTCAAGGGCATAAGTGAATAGCGTACAATTGTGACTTTAAAGTCTGTGGTCCGCGAGACTTTCGTTATTATAAAATGGTTATATATTTTCAGTCCCACAGCCACAGATGAGGCGGCCAAACCACGGGTTTTACGATTCACATGGTCCATGAAGACCACTTCGCCCCTGATGCCCGATCAGATAATGCAAAAGATCCGGGAAGTGCTTGACCAGAACAACTGCGACTACGAGCAACGCGAGCGGTAAGTAAACATATATATCTAGTTATTTTTATAACCATATTTCTGTGGTCATCTTTAGATTCGTGCTTTGGTGCGTGCATGGAGATCCAAACACGGATTCCCTGGTGCAATGGGAAATTGAGGTGTGCAAGCTGCCACGTCTCTCTCTTAATGGAGTGCGCTTTAAGCGAATCTCTGGTGGGTCTCAAATAAATTATTGCGATGAGCTTTAATAACTGTTTATTGATTTGCAGGCACTAGCATTGGCTTCAAGAACATTGCGTCTCGCATTGCTTTTGACCTCCGGCTGTGACTTAACCAAACGAACAACGAGGGGAACGCGGCCGCCGCCGCCGCCGCCTCGCGGCCCACTGATCCAACCGACACCATATCCACCGCCAACTGTCGGAGGGCCAGCAACGACAGCACCTCCCGGCTGTCGGAGCTCTCGCTTCTGTGCCGCTCGCTAACCAGCCAGCAGGGCTCCCAGCGGCGCAAGAAGAGCCGCCTGTCCACAGGTGGCAGCGAGGATCAGAAGAAATCCAACTCGTTGCTGTCGGCGTTTCATATGTACTCTCCCTTCAGTTCGAAGGAGAACTTACAGTCCAGTGAGGAGGTGCAGGATCTCCAGGTGATTGACACACAGCCAGGACACTCTCTTGATGCGCCTCCATTTGCCGACTTCAGCCCAATCAATCCGATTATGGAGGAGGATGCCGAGGGTGTTGACGGCAAAACCAGTGAGTCCAAAGGGACGGGCAGTGGCAGTGGACAAAAGGTCAAAGGCGACGGCGGCGGCGGCAGCGGTAGCGGTGGTGGTGGTGGGGGCAATCGATTGAAGCGAAACATCAAGCACACCGGGAGCCTGATTGTGCGCAAATTAACTGCCGGCAGGCACAGTGATGCGGACAAAAAGGGTGCGACTGGAAAAAAGGATAAGGAGCAGCAGGAAGCGGGGGCCACGGACAAGGAGAAACCAGGCAGCAAGCCGGAGGGCAAAGTCCCCATGCTACGCACCACAACCCTCTAATGCAATGGAAAATGGCAATGGTAGCATGGGCAATAATACGTTTAGTTGTGGGGCAGTTTGTATCTATTGAATGAGTAATATGGAAGGCACTGCGGCGAATCCCAGCTGGAATCTCAAGAAAAAAATTAGTGTTAGCATCTCTCCGTAGATCGAACGTATTGAATATATAACTACACATTACAATCAAGCAGACAAACTCCTCCTATCTATCCACACTGACATGCATTAGCACCCGCATAGATACGCACATATTTACATACGTTAATTAATAGGAACCTAGTTAATGGGCCAGCAATATTGGTCATCGAGCTGCAGGCAAGATGAATTCAAAGTAAATATAGGGGAAACAGAAACACCACTCAATAAAACAGTAACAATAAATATTAACAAGAAACCAATCAACGCTCTATAAACTGCATTTATGTGTCGATATCCAGTAAACAATTTTGCTTGGCGAACAAACGATCAATGAACACAAATTCATAGATATCCGACTCGGGTTGTTTCTTTTTTTAAAACCATATTTTCAAGAATGTCGCAGATGACAGGTGTCTAGGTGTGAATAATAAATAATGTATCAATGATCGTATCGCAAATTGGATAGCCAAAGTTCTTCTTTTACTATACTGAAACGTGCCCAAGTTCAACCCAAACACCTTAACACCTAAACAACATCAATTGTAATTATTAGACCCGTGCTCGAATACGTAGTTGGTACTTATACCTGACACTTTTGTTTATTTCCCTCAATTTAAACCGTTCATAGAACACACAGACAACAAATGTATGTATATTACTGTTAAGGCTACCAGTTTACTAACAACACCACTCCGAAACATGTAACACTCAGATGCAATTGTGGCCAATTGTTACCTAGTTTCCACTAAGTTCACTTACACTTACACCCAAGGAAAAGACGAGCCAGTGGCAATTTGTTGAATGTTTCTGACGCAGACTTTAATGTGTTACGAAAATGAAAGTAAATGGGATTTTATGGAGGAGCGATCTCAAGTGAGATGTAGAAAAAAGACGACCATTTATCTAAGTTGTGGAGGCTCAAAAACAGTCTATATATACCAAAACATATACATAGTTGCACATCAAGTTGTCTTCATCATGATTGTGACGCATTTCTGTAATTCTTAACTTTTGAGAGAAGCATGCATCGTTTTATATATTTGTTGTTAAATGACAGCTAATTGGAACATATTAATAATTACTAGGACTAGGCAAGAACGCGCATAAACACACATAAGTATATAATACATGCATAAATATATAAAGCCAGCAGCTTATTACATATACGCCGAGAGATTTCCTCAAGTAGAACGCCGGACTCCCTTTCCGAAAAAGAGATATATGTATATGTATCTGTGTAAGCATTGCTAAAACTTCACCACTTTTATGTTTTTTGTTGTCGGCAATATGCGGTCAGTAAAATAAATTGGCACGACCAGATCCACATTGCACAATACGCTAGTTGTGTGTACTCATTTCTGGTATTTATTTCGGTCCAAAAACAGTTGAGTTAATGTAAAACAAAGCGAAATTATTGAGAACACCATTAATTCAGAATTATGATAAAGCCGATTATAGAATTTACGAATAATCATGTTGTAAGAATATCTGATATACATACATACATAGATGTTTTAATTAATAAAAATGGCATAACTATAATTAGTGTTGTGATTTCCTGCGTTCAAATAATCTAAGTGCCTTGCAAGTCTTTTGGTTAAAGTGGCATGTGCGATGCGAGATGTGTTGTGGACTGTGGCGTGTGCCAAATACTTTCAGAGTTCGTCGTCCATGTTGAATTCTTCCGGTGGAAAATCGCCAACCGTAACGGATAATGGGGATACAAAGCCGCCGTAATTTGGAGCACAGCTAAAGTATGCTTTTCCAGCGATGCTGTAATGAGGCAAATTGCTTATAATTTAGGATTGGAAAAAGTTAAAGTACTAGTTTGAACTTGTAACAAGAATTTAAGTATTTGAAATAAAGGTAACTTATTTTCCTTGTAAGTTTTTACAGTTAAATGTTGTATTGTTGTTGATGGTTTAAAAATAAATTCTTGACGGTGCAAACTAAACATAGGGTTTGAGCATTTACCTTCCATTGTTCTTGCCCAGCGGCTCATCATATTCGATGCCAATGAAATGACCGCTTTTGCCTTCTAGCTGACCATTATATCTGATTGTTCCGCGTCGGGTGGGATTACCTGGCACCGTAACCTGTAGGAAACATAGCTTTTGAGTACATTGCAACCGAATTGTTTAGCTGAAATCCATTTCACCTCGCATCGCCCGCCCAGGACGCACAGTTCCGCCCGCTTCTGGATCTCCTCCGCCTGGAGGCGCCTCTTTTCCTCTGCCTGTTGCACCTCCTCCTCGTTGTACTTGCCCAGCCGATTCTGCTTGAGGTAGTTCCGCACGGAATCGGTCCTCTGCTCGTACTGATCCTTGGACAGTTCGAATTTCTCCACGGGAGCACTGTCGAAGGAGAACGTGGCAAAGCTATCGATCACATGCAGTCGTAGGCCATCGCAGTTGGCATAGTAACCCAATTGGGCGTCGTCGTTGTCCAGCGTGGACACGCAGGTGTCCCCCTTGAAGATCTGTACCTTCATCGTGCCCGCACATCCGCCCGTCAAGATCTCCAGCTTGCTCTGAAGGGGGATATCTGGATGTCAGTCTATGTATCCATTCCACTGATCCGTTGGAAGACCTACCTTAAGCTGGGCAACTGTTAGATCCTTGGCGAACTTCACCTCGAAGGCGACGGCGTCGTTGTGCGAATTGGAAACATTTGCTTTGATGAAATCCGATTTGCCCGATTCAATTATAAGCGACATCTTGCGTTCCTTAGAAAATGTGGCCGCGGAATGGAGAAAGTAATTAGGAAAACTGTCCAGAAAAACCGGGTGTTATTGATTGAGAGAGTGACTAACAAAAACAGTGCCAGCAGTAATCAAAAAAAGCACTAAAGCGTTTTGTGGAGCTTTGAAAAAAAAATACTACAAAAATACTACGTAACGCCGTTACGTTTTAACTCTTTTTTGAATGTTCAATGTTTTTTTTGTATTATGGTTAAATATTTGCCCATAAAGCAACATGTTTTTTTTTATAGATTTTTATAAACGATCTTCTGCGCTTTTAAAAATATAAATATTAATTACAAGACGGCCGCCATTGATTTCAAGAAAATTAATTCAAATGCTGATCATTTTGAACTTGTGGAGGGAAATTATTACATGAAACCCTAAAAACTAAGTTAAGTTAAATAAAAAGGTTTTTCATTTAACACGCTAAACGGCATCTTCTAGAATCCTTGATTCATCGATGTTTATTTAAGGTTCCCCTCCCCTTAAACAATAGAAAAATATCAAATTTTTTCTTCTGTGATATATCAAGTGTATTTTGTGCTATGCAACTTAAATGTATCTATTTTTTGGTGTTGTGATGTGCAGTCTATTTGTTTGCTTCAGTTCAGTCCTTAAGTGACTAAATCCTAAGAGGCTGCCAGAATGTAGGGCCGAATGTCCTCCACATCCAGTAGCTGCTCCGGTGCCACGTGCTCGCCACACATGGGACACTCTCCATTTTCCGACAGAATACTAAAAAGATTTAAAAATAAAAAGTCTAGTCAGTTACTTTTAATTACACATAAGATAATAACGAACTTACTTCTCCATCTCGGCACGGAAGCAAAGAAAATCGCATTGCGGACAGGAGGTCATCAGCTGCTTGATAATGTGCTGTCCAGTGGCGATGCAGATGGGCAGTGTGGTCTTGCAGCTGTAGCAGGTGACCTCCATGTTGGCCAGGTTCGAGTCGCAGATGGGACACTCCATGGTCTCGTCGTCGATCTCATCCCGCAACTGCTTGATGCCCTTGGGAGCCTTGCGCACAATCGACTCGATCTTCTTCGCATAGCGCGGGTCTAGTTGGTTCCTGTAATCCGGGCGCATCAGAGTGGAGGCATAGGTAAAGGCCGACTTCTTGAGACCAGCTCGATGACACTCAATTACGGTGGAGGTGAGAATGGGAATGATGTCTGCAAAATGTATAAATAATGAGAAACGTTAAATACATAAGACTTATGTCCTTACGCTCTGGAAACTGGGATATGCAGGCGGCCACTTGAACCAGGAGCTTGGCGGCCAGCAAATGGTTGCCCAGTTTAACGTGAATTCGCACCAAGGTGTAGCGATGTAGTAGGATAAATTGGTGCCTCATTTCAGCCGTCACCGACAGATTGTTTCGTCGTAGTTCCTGGTACATGGAGTACAATAGGTCCCTTGCCGATTTGTAGTTTCCAGCGAGCTGTTCCTGGTTGGCGATAATAACAGCCGTCTTGGCCGCATCCTTGTAGTGTTTCCTAGCCATGTATAAGCGAAAAAGATACCGGGGATCCTTGGGTACGCCATCCACTTCACCCAACAGAAACTCAATAAGTTGGGAGGCCAGCTGCTCATTGTTCGAGGTGGCCACACAGTCAATGGCCAGCGATAGCGAAACCTGCTCCTCGTTGTTAAACGCTGACGCTTTGAGCAAAAACCTCAACGCCTTGGTAAACTCCCTGGCCAGAAAGTAATACTTTCCTGCCAGTAGTGTGTACTTCTCACCCTCGAAGTAATGAGCCAGCGCCAAGTAATCGGAGGATTTGGCATTCTCATATCGCTCGAGGAGCTCGCCATGACGCCTCAACTTGTTGTGTCGCTGGGCGAGGGCAAAGGCCTCCTCTACACAGCCGCAGATGACAAGGAACTGAAGAGCCTGCTCTACATCGCCGATCTTCTGGTAGAACTTGGCCAGAAGTTTGGCAGAGTCCATGGAACGCGACTCCAGAACGATTTCGGAAGCTGCATGGGGATCGCAAAGATGGTCCAGATAGATCCTAACGCAGGCATCCAAGTCACCGGCAATACGATAGCTCCTTATTGCCTCCTCGAAATGGCCATCGTTCTCCTTCGCCTTGGCATAGGCGGCATGTAGTTTGGTGCTCTTCACCTTGGGCAAAACATTGTTGGCTTTGTTCCACATCTTCAGAGCAATGTAGTGGCCACAGGCCTCATCATAGAAGCCACCGCGTTCGTACAATCCCGCTGCCTCGGTAAGATGTCCCACGGTGGCCAATAGTTCAGCGCAGTCAAACAGAAGCTGCTGATCCTCCAACTCCACGGCATATTGAATCTTTTTTCAGAAACAAACAAAAACATTTTGTTAAATACCTTTGTTAGGTAACCAAAGCATACAGATTTTTACCCCTCGTCTAAAGTCTCCCGCTCTGATAGAGGTCCTAGCAATGCCCATTTTGCAAAGACGCACATGCTCCTCGTACTCAGGCGAACTTTCCATTAAAGCAGCAGTATCAGTCTCCTTGCTGTTGATCAAATCCTCCTTGTAGCCCTTCTCGTAGTGATAAAGAGCATCTGCATAGTTGCCACTGCGAAACAAGAAAGGGTTATTCCATTGAGGATCATCTCTCAACATTGTTGACCTTACGTGAACTCCAATTGCTGGGCGTACTCCCTGGCTATATAGGGCACTTCTTGGGGATCGTTTTTGTGGGCCAGGAGCAGCGCCTGATCCCATTGCAGTAGATCCCGACAGAGTTCCAGGGCTGCTCGGGTATAAACTCCCTTCAACATGTGCTCCTTGGCCTGGTCGTACTGACCCAAAAGCGTACAACAGCAGCCTATAAGCATGTCCAAGTCCTCGACATAGCGTAGTTCTCCCAAGGCATTTACAAAAGCAGCTTCGCCCAGCTGACGATACGCTCGAATGGCTATGAATTGATCAATAAAGGATCGGTGGTCAAGCGAAGGGCAGTGAAATACTCACCTATATCCGGTTCTAGATCTGCAATGGCCTGCTCTCCAAACTCCCGCCAGGCACTGCTGAGATTCATCTGCTTGCACAGCTTGAAGGCCTCGTCGTAGTTTCTCAGCCGCAGGAGCACCTGAAGGTTCGCCATCTGACTGTTGCTTGGATTCACGACATGGGTGCTGAGCGACTGGGTGGCATACTGACCACCATCAATGTGCAGTGCCATTTCCCCGCCACACAACAACAGTGGAAATTGACCCGGATTCAGCTTGGACTCACCCACTTTTAAGGTGTGTGTCCCTTGCACAGAGTGTCGCACAAATGTGTGGGTGTTCACGATTCTCGCATCGTAGCTGATGAATATATTCGGCTGCGTCAAATCCCACAGACAGCCGAGACACTGCTTGGGAATGTCCGGAATGAGCAAGGCCTCCTCCACAACGGGCAGAAACACATAGCCTTGCGAATGATCGTCTATAAATATGACCTTGGTGCCTTCGATGTCGATGAAAAGCTGCCGAATGCCCATGCTATGCCTGTAGATGGTGCAGCTGTCCCACTTTTCCAGTGAATAAAAAACCAGGTGGCCTATCTGGGAGTACAGGAAGATTAAGGATTTGGATTAAAACATTATTTTTTTTACCCTGTAAAGTTATTTTTGGAACTCATTTCTTATTGCTTATAGATCTGGCTCTGAAAGTATTAGGAAGTGATGACTCACATCAGTGGCGAATATCAGCAGTTCCTGGCTTAATGCAAAGCATGTGATAACCACGTCGCTGGGCATATTGGGCAGAGCAGTGGGAAACACAGCCTGCAGCTTGTCCTTGCAGTTGGGATTGTCGGCGGCGATGGCCTGAAGGATCAGCTGCGGCGGACAGAGAGCGGCACAGTAGTCGGCATTCAGCCTCATGCTCTCCACGCTTCGCGGGAAGTCGCGTTCGCTAAGTGGACGCGGCTCCTCGCCCAGGCTCTTGCCGAGATCATAGAACCAAACGTGCTTCTCGATTCCGGCGGCAAAGTTATAAGGGCCCACGGCCATGAAGGTGGGCTCTCCCTCCAGTGGCAAGCGGAATGGCAGTGACTTGGTTTTCTCCGGGGCGTACACATAGATGGACACCTCGGCCAGACTGCTCAGCATCACAATCCGAGGAGCGGACACGGCGAACAGGTGCGGCAGCTTAGTCACATAGATGTAGACAGTGCCGTGGTTCGTGGTCACTGCCAGCAGTTGGCCATCGGGAGACCAGTCGATCATCTGGACACCGGCATGGTCGGGCACGGTTATGATTCGCTCAGTTTCCTGGAGATTCGTTATTGAGTGAATCTTAATGCTGCTTAAAAAGTATAATAAAATCAGTTCGTTGTTACTTACATTTCTTAAGGTTTCTAATATAATAATTTACATAGGATTTTCTAGAATTTGTATGGACTTTCGATTGGAAAATGGTTATAAGAGATTTCTGAAACATCCCGAGTGCAGGGATTGATAAAATTACAAAATCTATCTGAACCCTGCCTATATTATTATCATAAAAGACTATATTAATTCGTCTGCTTGAGGATAATAAATAATATTTATGTCTGTATGAATGTTCTTTTAAGAATAAATGTGTTTTTAACATTTTTAAGGAAACTCTTTTAAGCTTTAACCAAAACAATAAAGGCTTTTGATCGTCACTACTAACCTGTCATCTCCGCAAGAGGCCACTATGTCCAGGGTGGGGCAGTAGGCCAGCCCCGTCAGCGTGTCCTTGTGGTTCTTCACCTGCCACAGCTCCTGGCCGACGTCCTTGGGATGCGTGGAGATGGCCACCACATGTCCGTTGGAGAAGCCCAGCAGGATGTAGCCATCGCCGAACCACTTGTGCTGCATCAACGATCCATAGCGACTCTGGAAGCCCAGCTCCGTGGGATTCTCCGGCTCGGGCAGGTAGTAGAGGAACAGGGTGCGCTTGCCGATGATCATGCTGATGGCATTGTCCCCGGCAATGCGTTCGTCGTTGGCCATTTCGGCGAAGTACATGTCGGTGGGTGCGTCCCTTAGCTGGACAACACGCACCGTGTCCCCATCCTCGTTGCTCAGCGAGAAGCTCTTGTCCTCCGAGCCGAGTGCCAGCAAATTCTGGGCGGACCATGCGCCGCAGGTGATTCGTTTGCTGTGCTTGCCCAGCACCGGAGTGGGTCGCTTTCCGCTGCGGTGGTTGTAGATGGCCAGGTTGCCGCGTCCAGTGCCCACGGCCAGTAGCTGATGCTGCTTGGACCAGAGGATGCAGGTCAGCGGATCTCGCAGACCCGTTTCCACGCTGATCTTTTCCTGGCTGTTGTAGTCCCACAGGGTTATGTTGGGCGAACCGCTGGTGATGATGCCCAGCAGATCGCCCTCCTGGTCCCAGGCGAATCCCGAGCAGAGCCTGAAGGAGGGGATATTTTACTAATTATCATTACTTTCTAGACTGGTCATTGCTAACCCCGAGAGTATGATGCGCTGCACCAGCTGCCCCTGACGGTTGTACAGGGCCACGGAGCCATCGGTTCCGGTGGTGGCCAACAGGGCCTTCTGCCAAATGAAGTACACATCGCCGATACCGTGCGGTTCCTCATATTTGTACAGTATTTTTTCAAAGGACATGACTGGCTTTATATTTATTTTGCGGCAGCGAACATTCTGCGATCCACAATTTTCCGGCTTTTGTTTACGATTTTTCCGTTTCCATGGTAGCGGCTAAAACCACTACAAGCACACCCGCGCCTGTGTGGGTGTGTGTTGTCTTATTGCACCTGTTGATTTTTGCACTGGCGTTTAGCCATTTCGAGAAGTTAGCCAACACTGTTAGCAGCTGGTGGCTGTTGACGTCACCGTTAGTTGCCCATCTCTAATCAGCTGTTCCATAGTAAATTCGCAATAAATTCACAAATTATTTATATTTTACCTAAAAGTTGTTAAATTAAAAGGGATAATAATACTAAAAAGATGTTGGATGACCTTCCGGAGCAGTTCGACCTAGTGGTCATAGGCACGGGTAAAAAACTAGCTTCAATTATAAGTTTGAAACAAGAATGAGTCATTGAGGGACGCCCTTTTTAGGCTTCACCGAATCCTGCATCGCTGCTGCGGCCAGCAGGGTGGGCAAATCGGTGCTCCATCTGGACAGCAATGAGTACTACGGGGACGTGTGGAGCTCCTTCAGCATGGACGCTTTGTGTGCCCGCTTGGACCAGAAGCCCGAACCACATTCGACATTGCGAAATTGCAGTTACACCTGGCACACCCGCGATTCGGAAACAGGCGAACAACCTTGGAATCGGGACTCTGTGCTGGCCAAGTCGCGTCGCTTTAGCCTGGATCTATGCCCTCGCATCCTGTACGCCGCCGGGGAGCTGGTGCAATTGCTCATTAAGTCAAATATCTGCCGATATGCTGAATTCCGAGCGGTCGACCATGTGTGCATGCGCCACAACGGCGAGATTGTGTCCGTGCCCTGCTCCCGCAGCGATGTCTTCAACACCAAGACGCTGACCATAGTGGAGAAACGGCTGCTGATGAAGTTCCTCACAGCCTGCAATGATTACGGCGAGGACAAGTGCAACGAGGATTCGCTGGAGTTCCGGGGGCGCACTTTCCAGGAGTACCTGAAGGCGCAGCGCGTGACTGAAAAGATCTCGTCGTGCGTGATGCAGGCCATTGCCATGTGCGACCCCACCACCAGCTTCGAGGAGGGTATGCAGCGCACGCAGCGATTTCTGGGCAGCTTGGGCCGCTATGGCAACACACCCTTCCTGTTTCCCATGTATGGCTGCGGGGAATTGCCGCAGTGTTTCTGCCGACTGTGCGCTGTATATGGTGGCATTTATTGCCTGAAGCGACCTGTTGACGACATTGCCTTGAACTCGAATTCGAACGAATTCCTGTTGAGTAGCGCAGGAAAAACACTGCGGGCAAAGAATGTGGTCTCTGCACCTGGCTATTCACCAGTTTCAAAGGGCGTCGAGTTGAAGGCTCACATCTCACGGGGCTTGTTCATATCGTCCAGTCCCCTGGGCAACGAGGAGTTGAACAAGGGTGGTGGTGGTGTGAATCTTTTGCGACTGATCGATGTCGAAGGTTCACGTGAAGCCATCTTAATTCAACTGGCCCATTACACAGGAGCATGTCCCGAGGGATTGTGTAAGAATGAATAGAAACTCTGCGATTGCTAAATATTTAATAAGTGCATTTCTTTCAGACATCTTTCACTTGACCACGCCCGCTGTAAGCGAGAATCCTGCCGCCGATCTGTCTGCTTTTACTAGCCAACTCTTCGATCACTCTGATGCACAAATAATATTTAGCTCGTACTTTACAATTGCTGCCCAGTGCAATACAAGTGTCGCTGCCGAGCACATTCACTACACAGATGCCCCGACCTATGAGTTGGATTATGACGCGGCCATTGCTAATGCTCGCCACATATTCGGCAAACTCTTCGCGGATGCTGACTTTCTGCCACGAGCCCCAGATCCAGAGGAGATTGTCGTCGATGGCGAAGATCCCAGTGCCTTGAACGAACACAGCTTGCCCGAGGATTTGAGGGCTCAACTGCAGAATATGCAGCAGGCAACTCAAGAAATGGACATACAAGACTAGATATAATTCAGAGATAAATCAAAGGAGGAAATATCATACGACGGGAGCAGACCATTTTCTTATGTGACATTTCAAAATTAATAGGTTAAGACAAAGTGTAATCAATTGTGTAATATTTTTTGCTTCATATATTCCTATATATTTATTATGTAAATTATTTATAATTGCTAAAAGTACTAGGTATATATAAATGTTTATATGTGAGTGCTTCTGTGCATTTTGCTTTGAGAAATATACTTTCGAAAAATATGCATTCCAATGCGTATAAAATTGTTACTTCTTTATAATTATTGCTTGACGGGTTGCTGATTTTTTTTTTTCGCACGAAGACAAAACTTAGGGGTTTCAAAGAGATTAAGGTTAATAGTTAACAGGGAAGAACGAATAATAGTAGTCTTATAAATTAAGATAAGGCTTAGGCAGTTGATCATGCGGGCAGCTACAATAAACACAATATAAACTTGATTCGAACATATCAATACTTGAGAACAGATCAATGGAAGCTAAAACATACGAAACCAAACTAAAATGTGATGAAAACCAAAGTGGAACAAACAGAACACATGTATTCGTGCTGGAAGATTCTGCCGACGACTCCTTTGACCACATTTCATCCTGTTTTCACTGCATTTTACAATAAAGCTTTTGTGTTTTCATTTCTTGTGATTGGTTTGAATGCCTTTCCACCAGGTCGAATTAGCTCAATATATGAACAATTTCGCGAGGATACAGATATTGCGTCTGTAACGTCCGACATTTATCTGCGAATTCAACCCAATGCAGAGGCCGTTGTGAGAGTTGAAATTCAATTTTCAGTTGTCATGCGAAATTGTGAGTTGCTATTCCTATATCTTAATCAGATTATTATTGATATTCTGCTGGCGTTTGCGCTTCGCATTCATGGCGTCCACAATGGGTTGCCGCTTGGCATTGTATTTCTTGTTTAGTTGCTCGATCTCCAGCTCCATCTCGTGATCGATGTTGCACAGCCGCTGGTTCAGATCGTCGAAGGTGAGGAACTTGAGGAACTCAAATTCACCCTCCACATACGCGTGCGATTGTGTGTGCATATGCTGGTTCTGATATGCGGGCGGCGGTTGAGCTGGTGCCGCGGCTGCCGGCATTCCCTGCTGGCCCATTGGCGCTGCATTGCTGAGCAGCAGATTCTGCTGATTGTTCAGCGCAATGAGCTGCTCGTTCATCAGTGGATAGGCCATGAGTACCTGCTGCTGGTGCTGATGCTGTTGCAGACCATACTGATTGATGGCGGAGATCTGCTGGAACTGCATTTCCATGTTGTGCTCCCAGTTGTTCAGATCGTTGGCCCCGCTAGCCAGGTGCTGCTCCTCTTGCTGCTGCTGTTGCTGCTGCTGCTGCTGCTCGGCTGCCGCCGGGGAATACTCGGTGGGCATGGATTTCTCATCTCCGCGAGCATCGCCCGCATTCTTCCGGTCGAAGTGCTCCAGGAACTGCGGCCTGTAGCGATTGCGCGGCTTCTGATCGTCGTTTTGCTTCGCCGTTGTGGAGTCGTCCGAGTCCGAGTTGATCACCATAGTGCCTGAATATTTAACAACCATTATAACATTATACAACCCAAAGTAAACACATTTTCTTACCCAAATTTGACTCTAGCTCCACCATTGTGCCACTGTCCACTGCCGGTACATCCAGGGTAGATGCTTCTGCCGATGCCGCTGCGCTGCCTACCGTGTGATCAGCTGCCTTGGCCAGGTTTCTCAGACCTCCCGGCCCCAATGTGCCCTCGTCCACGCCCTGCTCCGCATGCGCTATCATGGTGGCGTCCGATGCCGAGCTCAGATGGTAGTCGGCCAACTTTTCCGGCACCAGGGTGCCCGGATCCTCCATGAACACGACGTCCAGTATGTTCTGCAGCTTACCGTTCTCCTGGGTGGCCAGACTCTTGGCCTGGCTGGCGGCCACCCCGAAGGCGCTTCGGTTGGCCCGCTGCTGCTCGCGAATGCCACAGGTTTCCTCCAGCATGGGCTTCAGGATCGATCTGTGCTTGGCGTTGCGTATGAACTCGTGCTCCAGCAGCTCGGTGGCCGTGGCCCGATCGTCCGGCTCCTTCACCAGGCACTTGCTCACAAAGTCGATGAACTCGGTGCTCCAGCGATCCGGCTCGCGGAACGAAGGTGGCGGCTTCTGGGGAATCATGAAGATGGCCCGCATGGGATGGATGTCACCGTAGGGCGGCTTGCCTTCGGCCATTTCCAGGGCTGTGATACCCAGCGACCAGATGTCGGCCACACAATCGTAGCCGATTTCCTCGATCACCTCGGGGGCCATCCAGAAGGGAGTCCCGATGACCGTGTTCCGCTTGGCCATCGTGTCCGTAAGCTGGCCTGCCACCCCGAAGTCGGCCAACTTGGCATAGCCTTCGGTATTGAGCAGGATGTTGGCCGCCTTAATGTCGCGGTGGATCTTGCGGCGAAGATGCAGATAGACCAGACCCTTCAGCGTGTCCGACAGGATGGTGGCGATTTCGTCCTCGGTGAGCGTCTTCTTGCGCAACCGCATGATATCGGAGACGCTGCCGGCACCACAGTACTCCATGCAGATCCACAGGTCGTACTGCTTGAAGTAGGAGCCATAGTAACGAACCACGTACGGCGAGTCGCACTGTTGCATAATGGATATCTCCTTGATGATCTCGTGCAGATCGGACTCCACCGGCACCAGTTTGATGGCCACGATGGAGCTGCTCTCCTTGTGGAGCGCCTTGTACACCGACCCGTAGCTTCCCTCGCCCAGCTTGTACATTATGTCGAACACCTTTTCCGGCGGCTGCAAGAGCGACTCTTCCGACAGCTTCTTCAGCTCGAAGGAGGACATGTTGGCCGCCATCTCTCTGCTCACCGGCTTCCGCTGGCCTTGACTTTGCGCGAAACTTAAAGATAGTACGAAAACACACAGATAGTTCGGAAATTCACAGCGACATATCACACACTTTTGTTCTTTATTCGTTCCCGGTCAGTGTTGGCTAGGGTATGAGGGTTCTGGTCCCAGCACTTTACAACACGCCACCCGCACAGACAGGTGCAGTGTTGCCAGATCTGGAGATGTGGCGTTACCATACATCCGATGGGTTTCAATGGAAAACGTAAACAAGGCTCCAGTGCTGGTAAGCAAAGGTGGCAATTTATCGAAGAACTAGAAAGCGCGCATTTTAAATTTCATTATTTTTATAAAATTGAGCTACATTCGCCAGAAAAATAAAAGGGCACAATCCAAAAACGGTTGAAAAACGACGCGTTTTTTTCGTCATAAAGCATTATGATACATGCGAATACAAAACTTATAATAATTTGGTATTCAAAGTGTTCAATTAATGATAAGAAAAAGCTTTCGTATGTTTCCTGTGACTAAAACCCTGTTTGAACTCAGCTCATTCTAGAATTTTTTAAGCTTACTGTACCGACATAAATCTTTAGATTTATAAATATATGATTTTACAAATTAATTCGCTTCCTAGCTTAGTTATTTTACTTTATCGTCTTCTCATATTTTAATATAATTTAAATTTAATATTGACTGTCCAAAGTTAAGTTGCTTTTTGTTTGTTGGGTAATTATAACTTATAAGTTATTTTGCTGATCGCATACTAAACTATTTAAAATCACTTTCGGATCAGCTGGGTTAAGGCTGGAAAGGTTGACGACTGCTACATCAATTTGTCTTTGTTAATCAGTGGTTTTACTCAGAAAACCCTGATCCACTCCGCTCCGATGGGTTCGCTGACCCTCAACGCTTCATAAAAATTCTTTGCAAATCAATGTTCATTCCGGAGATTGGAAATTCGTACTCATTCGTACCAATGATAATACAAGCAATGAGCGCAACATAACTGGCGCCTATGGGGCTAACCGGATTGTTTGACATTATAATAAATGCGACTGGAAGAGAGCACCCACGAAACCGAGCCCGACTTCGAATCCGAGTAAGCGGCTTTAGCTGTTGGCTTATCGGTCACTAAGCCGGCGGGGGAGTCCGAGAGTTGGAGAGCCCTAGCAACGTGCTCCATAGAAACGACACGACACCCAACGGCAACAGCAACAGCAAAAGCGACAGCAACGCCAACACCAGGAGTGCCAGGCTAGAAAATTCCTTCGCTCGCCAGTTCGCTGTTTACACTACGTGGCTGCACATCGTCGTTGTACTCCGTTTCCGGAATGGCCATGGCCCAAACGGCACGCACCGCCACGGGTAGGCGTCCGACGCACGACTACCATGGTACCGCCATCTCGCTGAGACAGGTCCGCTCCAAGTCCGCCAATCCGGGGCAACTGCGTCCGCTGAGCGGCGTCCACGGGGCGGCCGTCTCCTCCCGCCTCGTGCCGCCCTTCTCCATCCAGTCGCAGCAGAAGAACACCGTCGTCATAGACGGACCCATCCACGAGTCCGCCCCCAAGACAGCCAGTGCCAGGGCTCGAGCCCCGAAAAGTGCGTTTATTTGTTTGTTTGCCTCTCTGTCACAGGCCGCTGTTTGTTTCCCTAATGATTTCCGTGTACTGATTTCCAGTTCTAAGGCGGCAGCAAAAGTCCATGTCCACCTTCAATTTGGGAATGGGTCTGACTGGTGGCGCCGTGGGAGGAGGGGGTAATGATCCGGGGCGAGGAACCCTGTTTCGGATGTACTTTGACCGCGGGGACCTGCCCATCAAGATGGAGTATCTGTGTGGGGGCGATAAGATCGGCTGGACGGTGAGTAATGGGGAATGTCAGGTGGGGAACACATAATAAATTCCATTAGTCAATAGGGTCAATAGTGCTATTATGGCTGCGGTTCCTGCGTAATTTTTCCGTTAGACTGAACCTTAACAAGTAAAAGTCCTAGAATATCATCATCATTATTGAATATAACATATTTCTAGCTTACCATAAATAGTTGCGCATTTGTTCCATTTTTTTAAAATTGCACTTTTATTTAAACAGGAGTCTAAAATTTAAATTGGTGAAAAATGATGTATTTGATTGTATAAACTAGAATTTTCCATATGCCAGATGCTATTTGGAGTCGGCAAATCAAAATCAAAAACTGTCACTAAAAGGAGGTAACCTTACCACTCGGTGACCTATAGGCGAAGCGCCTATTTGAGTTTCGCTCGAATTTCGTACATCTGCGTGTCCAATTATTTCAAGTGTTGCAGCTAAAAGCGAAAACGAGCAAATAATATGCCATTGTCTATTTCCGGAGTTAGTAGAGCACCGGTGACGGGCAAGCGATTCCGTCCGGAATGCGACTGCTGACATTCAAAACGTCGCACCGTCCAACTGTCAGTCAGTTTTTCAGAGTTAGAAATGGAAGGTATGGATATGGATATGGGTATGGGTATGGGAGTCTTCTACATTTGCCACCGGATATGTGTGACCCTACGAGCTGGTTCAATGTCACAGACCTTGGGAGGGCCTATTCGCCACACCCACATATGCGGCGAATGTCTTTTGAGCGGTGCGTTTGTTTATCTAGGCCGAAATGCCGCCGTGACAGCTCGTGTGCATTCGAGTGATATGTGAGTGACACTACTTCATTTGCGTCACTGGGTCGAAGGTCGAAGTCAGGGAAACCCATGTGTGAGGCTCCTATCCATCCTGCGATGCCCGAGATGTCGCCGATGACTTAATTATAAATTCGTTTCGGTAATTAATGCGATCAAGAAAATTAAGAACACATATATTTATTTTTGCAAGTATTTACCTTTCTTTTTCGCGAGTTAATGTTTTATGACATTTTGAAGACTGAGAAATGGTTAAAAAAGAAAATTACCTATGTATCTTTCAGCTTACTGCATGGTAAATAAAAGTGAGCCCTGTTTCTATAAAAATTACTCATACGACACGTATGCCAGTTTTAATTTTATGCAACCAAATTAGTCTCCCATTTATAGCCTTGTCAACCTATTGATCTTGTTAAAAAAAACCGTTAAAATATGGGCTATAAAAAACGGAAATAAAACTATGTTTACGCCACCTGGAGAAAAACAATCTATGTACATTGGTGGTCAAAAGAAATTACACAAATCAAATGAGAAGATGCTTATAAATAAATTATAAATACTTTTGCCCACCCCTGTTAATAAAGTGAGTTTTAAACTTTAAAGACAATGTTCAGAAGCTAAAACATATTGTTTCTAACGAATTTCTTTTGAAAAGCCTTCAGTGCGCACAGTATAAGTGTATGTCGCCCTATTTCGCGCCAATAAAAAATATTCCAGGCATGTGGGAACATTATTAACATAAGTCTACGACACGTGAGCAGCTTTCAGACTACCAGACTCTCAGACCATATTGTCACAAAATAAGATTAGACTAGACGTATACTATAAAGCCTGTAGGCAGGTACAGGTTCGAATATTCTCACTTTTCGCTTTGTTCTAAAAATTTTCCATTGACAACGTAAACAAACAAGGAGCATCTTAATGGAAATCAGCAAAAGGGCTAACCGGCATGGCGTGCAAATGTACACTTGCAAAACTTACGCCACCGCCGGTACACGAACCAATTTCGAACTCGGAGCGCTCCATTCACCTTTGACCCTCTGCCTTCGTCTTTCTCCCCGTCCTTTTCCCTCGAACAGGTGGACATCGAAAAGCTGGACTACAGCCTCTATCTGCCGCTCTTCTTTGACGGACTGGCGGAGACCAAACATCCGTATAAGACATACGCCCGCCAGGGAGTTACGGATTTGCTGCTGGCCGGGGGCGAGAAGATACACCCCGTGATACCGCAATTAATATTGCCGCTGAAGAGTGAGTACCAGGGATTCGGCTGGCACGCAAATGCCTCGAACTTTTTCGGTCTAATTTGCACCTTGCATCCTAACTACCAACTGAAATCCGCCCCCATTTCAGACGCATTGAGCACACGAAACCTGGAGGTAATGTGCACGACATTGAAGATAATCCAACAGCTGGTCATGTCCTCGGATTTGGTGGGACCCGCCCTGGTGCCCTTCTATCGACAGTTGCTGCCCATGTTTAATGCCTTTAAGGTGAAAAACTGTAGGTGCTTTCTTTGGCTCTATCCCTACGGATTCATCATCATCATCATCATCTTTTTCATTTTCTTAAAACGCAAGTAAACTGTGGCGATGAGATCGACTATGCCCAGAAGAACAACCTGAATCTGGGGGACCTCATCGATGAGACATTGCAGGTGCTGGAACTTCACGGCGGCGAAGATGCCTTCATCAACATCAAGTACATGGTCCCCACTTACGAATCCTGCTATTTAAATTGAGCTACGTGCGCTTCATGGTTTTGTCCCTTTACATACAATATCATAAGTATTTATTGAAATTTACAAACATTACAGAATTAAATAGATATTTGTTACCAACGCTTTTCTACGTTCGATTGAGATTATAGTGTGTGAGGATATAGCTTTGATTGATTAAGTTAAATAAGGCTTCTTGGATTTGTGTGCCTTTTACATACAATATCATAGACATTTAATATAACTAAAAAGGTATATATTTGTTACCAACGGTTTTCAAGTGTTTTAAATTTACTGAGATTATAGTGTATGAGATTATAGTTTTTTGAGTATATAGGTGAGTGGGGCCAACATCCTGGGTGGGGATGCTGGCAGGAGGTGGGGGGCACTACAGCTGGACCTTGAGGAAGCCGGAGTGCCCCCCTTTTAGGTCCTCACTTGGTGGGGGCGTACTCGTTCTTCTTCACATTATGGGGGGAATAGCGATTGTACAGGCCCCAGATGGAGTTCATTAGCTTGTCGTTGTATTTGTTCGGGGAGTACTCGCGTTCTGAAAAGGTGCAATCGATGAGTAAGCGATCCAATCACCCCATTGGCTGGAGATTGAGGACTTACGGGTTAGCGAGTTGCCGTTGTCAACGGAACCCTTATCGGAGGCAGCGGACCTCAGACGGGCGACGATCATCTCGCGTTCGTTGAATTGCTCGCGGATCTTGCAGGCAGCGAATGCACCTTGGGGAATGGCGGCCATCTTAGTAGCTGTAGGAAGTCGAAAGTTCGTCATGCTTACTTCATTTTTAGTCATAAAGGTAGTTAGGTTTACCGGTTAGGGAAATAGCACTCAGGAGGGAGAACAAGTCAAAGTTTCTTAATAAGCTTAGCTTCCAGCACTCTGTGAAATGCTGATCGAGGTTGATGGTTTTTCCGTTCAGCAGCAGCAGCATTCAAAGGCCAAACTTAAAGTCCGCAACAATTGGGTTTATTGGGGATATTTCGCACTGATCGAAATATGTCCCAGAATGTTTTTGGTTTTTTCTTTGTTTATTTTTTAACTAAGTAAAACCAATTGGATAGGGGATTTGTTAGCACTTTAAACAGGGAGGCATTGATTGCCAGTCGTTTTTTGTTTTCTGGAAATTGCTCGATGATCTGCGGAAGATGTCTCTGGTACTCGGAGATGAACTCAGCACAAGGGTTCTGAATTGAACTGAAGCTGCCGCCTATGAGCAGTGGCAATTTATAGACCGCGTGCTCGATCCGAGGGGCTTCGAGGAGATCGGACTGCCTTGATAACGTGATAATGGAGCCGGTAATTCATCGCCATTTTGTTCCACTTATCAGCTGCATTTGTCGTTGTTTTGGTTTTGGTTTTAAAATATTATATAGAAGCCTATTTGTTTCCAAGCCTTACGGGAAGTTTCGATGGGCTGGGAAGCAGATCATGTACTTGATATTGAGGCAGCCGTTAAACGACATCTCTGGGAATCAGCAACCTGGATCTCTGGGCAAGATTTGCTAGCCTAAGCAATATTAAGGGTTCTCTCTCCCGTCTCGGTTGTCCCTGTACTCATATAGCCAGTAATCTTCTGGTGCTGTCTTTAGAACCAGCGGAATCTGGTTATCAACACACTCTAGAATAAAGCCAGGGGCGTTTGCGATTATAACATTGTTAAAAACTGACCTAAGTGCATGTTGTTTATTTGAATTTCCAATTAATTTTTGTTTATTATGTTTCAGGGGTAGACAATGTTGGTGCTTTTGTACCTTCAATTTAAGTGATTCGAAGGGATTTTTAATTTTTAAGTTGAGGAAAGCATATTTTTATAATGTGTGCTTTATTAATTGGAAGGTCAGTTTTTTTTTCTTTTTCATTTTTTTATTATCAGGGGATTTATTTATAAAACAATAAAAATAACATTGAATTTTAAACATTGTTTGTTATTTTTAAATTACTTAAAAAGAACAAATGTTTTCTTTAAATGTTATTATTTAAGTATAGTTCTGTTATTTTAAACAAAATATGAAAAATTTAACAAGTTTGGATAAACAAATCGGGGATAGTTTCGCCTAAAGCATTTTAAGAACATGCTGGCGCTTTTAAAACCAACTTGTAACTTTTATTCCTCAGTGTATTATATGCAGCATATGCATCAAGAAATAATCTCTATAAAACAAAGAAAGGCTCACTAGTAAAACCAGTAAATAGGTGGGTGATTCGATCGGGATCATGGGGATGACCCTCGTAAAACGGTCTCAACAATACGATTATAAATAAATCGTTTATTTATTATTTAGTGACGCGCAATGTGTTTACTAAAAAAAAAGTAATCTTTTGGACAATGCCGAGAGCCAGTCACGTCGGCGATAACACATAGTGCTCTATGAAGTAGGTACAAAATTCTCACAGTATGCACACAGTTTCAAACACATTTTAATTTCGGAAATACAAAAAATGAAAAAAAAAATAAGCGAATTATGATTAATGATAAGGCGAGAAATGACAGCCACGAGCGTCTGAGATCACGTAGAGCCTGTTCTTTTTTTGCAGATTAAAGCCTGGCGTGTGTTCAGATAACAAAGATCCTCGATGATTTTTTACTTATTTTCTTCGGGGGACGACTAATTGGAAAGTTCAACACTCCGTCAATGACTCTTTGATAATGCTGATGTAACAATGTCAGACATTGAAACAATGCGCTTATCATTTGTAGACCCATTGCGGAAAAAACATTTGGACAAGTTCCGGCTTTAAATTTTGAAGGTTTTCCATAGAAAACTCATAAGTTGTTAGAAGTATGTTTATTAAAAAGATACACAGGCATAATTATTTAATGATTAGGGATGATTTAATGTAATGGACCTATATTGCGTAGCAAATTAGGTTAAAGAAATTTCTGCAAATGGAAAATAGAGATATGCTTTGAATTTGAAATGGCGCCAAGTGAGTACACTTTCCAACACTGGTCGCGTCAGCAGTTTTTCCCCATCAGGTGGCAACGCCTTTGCCAGACATCGAGGCTGCGTATTTAAAGTCAACGGCGAGGCTAAAATTAACAATTGGCTGTCAAAAGCAAGAAAAGAAAAACTCGGGAAATTGTTAATTAAAAACGTGACCCACATCAGCCCACTCAGCCCCCGGACTCAGCGATGACGTGGAAGAAGCAGCTGGCGCTGCTGGCCAAGCCCTACTATTGGGTGAACATCCTGCTGGCCATTTCGTACATGCTGGCCAAGAAGACGCAGTTCATCTGCACCCGCCTCTTCAATCTCATCGGAGAGGACGAAGACTGCGACTTGGACAGTCGCGAGGTGGAGATCCTGTTCTTCCTGCTGATCGTGGTGATGATACGGTCGCGCAAGACTGGCAGCGTCACCATGATCAACTACCTGGCCTCGTCGTTCCTCTACACAAAGGTGGCCAACGCCATCCTGTGGGCCTACGCGGACTTTCGCTACGGCCTGGGCTTCCTTCTGCTGTGCGTCCTGGTGGGCATGGTGCTGCCGGAACCCTCGTACCGCGGTCCCGAGCACATCACCTACTTCCGCACCGCACAGGTCTTCGAGGAGGAGTTGCTGCGGGACAAGCGCACCACCTGGCTAATCTGCTTCTACACGGTGTGGAATCCTAGCTGCGTCAACTTTGCACCCATCTTTGCCGAGCTCTCGGCCGAGTACAACACGGACCACCTGAAGTTCGGCAAGATCGATATCGGACGAATCCCGGACGTGGCCCAGAAGTACGGCATCGCGGACCACAGCTATTCGCGCCAGTTGCCCACTGTGATCCTTTTCCAGCAGGGTAAGGAGACGGACCGACGTCCCTGCACGGACTCCAAGGGCAAACTGCAGAAGTTCTTCTTCTCCAGCGACAATGTGCGCGCCACTTTCGGTCTGAACCAGCTTTATAAAGAGGCCGTGGAACGCCTGCCCTCCGCGCCCAACAAGGTCAAGGAGGCCAAGGAGAGCAAGAAGGTCCAGTAGGTTGACTGGCCCGCAATCTCATTTCTGCGTACACGTGTTAATATCTGTTATTCGTTTAGTTCTTAATTTATTTTAACTTATTGAGGCGACAGCGACCTCAACTGCCACCGCCAGAGACACGTACAATTGCACTAATAATTGCATACAATTCGAAACTCAAACGTGCCCTCGTCGCGTTGACATTGTGTAAATTAATTGTGTGGTCTTGCATTTGCGTATTTAATTTGTAGCTAATCATGAGGTACCAAATATATTTAAATATATGGAATGAGTCAACGAAGTTTGAGTTTGTTATTATTGCCATTGCCCCGCTGTGGTTAGTAGATTATTCAATTAGCAGCGCTCAAACGATCATTTCCGCTACTTGTTCAAGAACAAAGCGACTTTAAGATTGTCTGAATGAGCGTCAATCTGAAATGCTTAAAAAGAAGATGTAGTTAAAGTATTTCAATGCAGATATTATTAAGCAGAGCTAATTAAAAACATTTGTTCCAATATTGCATTTTGTAACAAAAAAGCCTCGATTCCTGAGTCAACGACAGCTTAAAAGCTTTAAAGCAAACGACAACGTTGAATTTAAATTGCTTAAAATATTAACAATTCAAAGAAACAAAAACACCACAATTTATTGACGTATTTATTGTATTTCGTTTATGTTAGGACCCGCCTTTTGAAAAAGAAGCCTTCGTGAACGACAATTGTTTGGAATAACATGTCGCGGGAACCCATCCTCCATGGCTTATGAAATATAAAAAGAATGGAGCTGTGTGCCCGGCCTGTCGTTTCGGCGAATGTGTTAAGCAAAAGTGTATAACAATGGAAATGGCACAACAAAAATGTTTCCGGCGTGTTGCGTTTCGAAATGGGCGGCAGTGGCAGTGGCAGACATCGGCCATATAGACAGGCCGTATATGTATGGATTATTATTGGGACTCACCCGGCCAGACACAGAACGAAATAAACGCAAATCCCTTTTATCCATTCGATATGCACACTCACAGCGAAACGGACGAATATAAATGCATAAATACAGGCGACTGCACACCACCCACCGACCACCACCCACAACCATCCCCACAGATGGGAGCGGGCTTTTGTGGTTAATATTTTCGTATTTTTTACTTTATTTTCAATGAAACGGCATGGAAATGGCCAATGCATTGTACGTGTGTTGTATTGTGTATGGCAAATAATACGATTGTCTCACATGGCCGTTTTATTTGCGGAAAATTTAAATTCCCATTGAATGTGAGACAAGATTCTCACCGTGCCGTATCAATTAGGGGGACGTATGTTCCGGGGTTTGATCAAGACTCCGGCGTACCAGCTGTCGATGCCACCAGTCGGTGCTGCCGTGATCCCCTACCGAAAAACCAAACACCAAATACCAAACCCCCAATCAGCAAACCCCAAAGCCCAAACCCATACCCGTACCCGTAATGACTTTCAAACGCTGTCACCCGCTTCTCACGGCGAAAATCCAATAAGCACTTGCTCCGCAGCGCCAACAAAACGCATTGTCGTCGCTATTTTCTCGTTGATTTCCCTCATTGCTACAGCCCAACCAGTGATGGCCACATTCAATTGATTTTGAGTGATTTTTTGGACGATACCCTGTATTACGACCCAAAGCAGGGTAAGTATTTACACAGAAATTAAAATAGTACTTTTCATCTTTCAAAATAATCATTCCTTATAATACATTCAATTATTCGAAAAAATTTGTCATAGAAACTAAAAATGAGTTTAAAAAAAATTGGGCATAAAAAATTTATCAATAAGATGAGTATCACAATAAAACTTTTGTGGTTTGAAAATAAGGCTACTGTATAGGTGTTATGTAATTTGGTATTGAAATAATATTTGTACCTAAACCTTTTAAAACTTAACTTTCTGAAAATTTAAAATATGGGTGACTTAAAGGAGATTTGTATCGGATATCGGATTTTAAATTAATTAACAAATTAATAAAAAACTAATTCAAACCGATAAAAAATTAGGCAAAAGGGTGTTCATTGGGCCCAGTTTATATTGCTGAGTACTGTTACGTCTCCTTCGATTCGGTATCCGCATTTTTTATTGCGTTTTTATGTCAACACCAGCTGCCAGCGTCTTAATATCGTTCGGTCGAAATGCTGGGTTGGGTTTTTGTGTATTTCTGTCAATTGCTCACAATTAAATTAAAATTCAAGTCAAAGCCAGCCGCTGTTGAACTCGCAACCAAAGCCGCAGGGCAGGACAATTGAAACGAAGCTCAGGTGCTTTCTTTACTATTTAACGTGTGGTATTTTACAAAGAGATTAAATAAATCAATTTTGTTGAGATATCCTTGACAGATATATTGCCGAAGAGGTAAGGTGTTTCTTTCTTTGAATAGCAGCAAATATTTATTATTTTATAGCCTTGGTTTTTAAAGATTTATTGGGCGATTTTAGTTTATAAATACGTTTAAAACAATTTAAGTAAACTTTATCGGTTTCAATTTAAAAATGGTCAATATTAGTTTTCCGATTGAATTAAGAAGGCTGTTATCAAAAACGCTTGTAAACTAAATATTTAAGATTGAATTTCACTGGTGGAAATTGAACCACATAAACAAGAGCTCAACGCAAAGCATGCAGTTGTTGAAAAAAAGGAAAACATTTAAAAGGCAATATCAAATCGATTTTGAAGTATCATATATACAATTTATTAGAATAAAATGGCGTTTCGTTTTGAAGCCATTACATTTGGCAATCTAATGCACAATGTTTTCCTGCTATGTCGGAAACAAATTATTTTAAATATTATATATCATGGCTCTGAAAGTAAGATAACAACCTCATTAATTATACGGATCCAAAGCTTAGGATGAGGATTCTCTGGTCAGGATACGGATATTGAGATCAGGATAATAAAATATTAACCCTCCATTCTTTAATTGCCTTGAGCTTAGTTTCTAAAAGGCAAAAAAAACGCACGTTTTCCGCAAATTTAAAATGTTTCATGCACTTTTAAAATGTTTTGTTTTTCTGAGAAAAATATAAAAATGTAGAATCATCAAACAGTATAAAGAGTTTTACATTCAATGTATTGAAAAGTTTCAAGCCCCAACACATCAAGTTTTGGTCGTCAGTGAGTATGAGCAAAAAAAAAAATTGCACCTTCTCCGTGACAATGCGTATTGCAGCATTGCCGTGACCAGGATTCGAACCTGGGTTTCTGCGGCCACAACGCAGGGTCCTAACCACTAGACGATCACGGCTGTGAAGGCACATGAATCTCCGACCACAAATCGCGAATTTGAAGCGAATGGCTAGAGTAATTTGCCTGTATTTCTTTGCTCTAAAACAACTCGTTTTGTGGAGCAACTACCGCCTCTAATCACACCAGTAGCAACAACAACGGAGCGAAAAAGCAGTGAAAGTCTGAGGCACTCGAGCAAGCCAGACAAACCCACAAAACCGACAAACCATTAGCCGATAAACAAGATTTTGGCTCATAAATTAATTTGAATTTGCCGAGCCAGCAGAAGTGGGGTTTTGTGGGGCGTAAAGTGGGCGTAGCGGTGGGCTTAACATTTCGATTCAATGTGGTTTGCTTTCAGCATCGATTTGTTGTTCTGGGGTGGTTGCGAAAGTGAAAAGTTCCAAAAATAAACTATGAATAAATTTAAAACACTGCGACACCGAAGGAATAGATTTATTTTATTTTCTTTTACATAATTTATGAAAAAGAAAAAGGTTAAATACACATGTATGTACTCATTCTAGATTAATTTAATATTGTTTCATTTTAAAGCGACAAATTTATTATTTTTTGAAACAGCTGCAGAGTAAATGTTATATTTAAAGAAAATTTTGTTAATAAGGGAATTTAAAAATGCATAAATAATTTAGGCAAATGCTTGTTTTAACATATGCACATGTTTAAGTACCCCAAGCGCAAAAATTAATTATGAATTGCAAAGTGCAAAAATCCTAAGCACCTCATAGTTGGGCTTTTAGAATACAAGTATTTCAAAGTATTTATTTCATTCATTATCTGACCTTCATAACACTAATAAATAAATTTAATAATGTTCACAAGAGAGAGAGAGAAAGTTTACAGATAATACAAATGACAACAAACGAAAAGAAATAAAACTAAGTCATTGATTTGTCTTTGTGTGATCATATACGTGTAGTTTATACACGATACTCTTAAAAATACACAAGAAACCATTCATTAATTTCGCCATTCAATAATTTTTTTTCACCTATAGTAGGATTTATACTTCAATGGCTCCTTGCGCTTCAATTAAAAAATATAAATGTAAATGTGAGCTTATTCGTGAGCCACATGTATCCTCGACATTCGCTGAACTTTCACTTCTACACTTCTGCGACCCCTATGAACAGGTTTCGTTTGCCAGCAACCAAAACTCTCCAATGTGAACTTGTACAATCCAGTTTCATTTATATTTGCGTTTAACGATTTTGTAATTACCCTTAAGTGCAATATTAATTCAATGGCAGTTTTCTGTTTTTATTCTGGCCCACTTGTAAACACAGTTGGCCGGCATTGTGGATGGGGATGGAAATCGTCATTGTTTTGTAGCCTCGAAACCCTAAAAAAATTGAAAAGTATTTACATGAAAGCTGCCAATTCAAATACAAATTCCCACACCCGTGATGTTCTTCATAGGATTTTTTTTTTTGTGAATTTCGTGGTCTGTTTTTTGAATATGTGCAAAAAACTGGACGCTTTTTGTGAACGGTGAAAGTACTTGCGCTCCAATAACTACGCAAAGGTTGGTGCTTCGTACTACGTAACAAAGTCCAGCTGTAAAAATATTTTTGATAAGTGGCATATAACTTTCTGTGGTGTCCTTCGCATCGATGTGTTTGCCACGTGGACTAACAATCTGCACGATAATCGCAGCAGGACACAAAAACGTGTCATTAAACGACAGATCTTTGAACTTTGCGGTGAAACAAACCGGATTTCCTATACTGTATACGGTGGGTGCCAGTTAGTCTGCCAGGGTCGGTATTTTTTGCTTGCGGCATCGGTAATGGGTCCACTATATAAGCCTGGCCAGCTGCACGCCAGTCGAAATAGTCGGCCCTAAAATGCTGGTCGACACGGACCTGGCCACTGGTGTGATCCGTTCGCCGTACAGCTTTGACATGCCCCACGCCTTCATCTTCAATGAGTCCCAGCACCGAGAGCCCATCTTCTGCGGATCCTACATGGAGATGGTAAAGCACTTCGCCCGAGCCCAGCACTACCAGTTGCTCCTCGATCCGGTGGATAGTCTGCCCAAGAAATCGGTGCTGGAGGAGAGCCTGGCCCGCGGGGTGTACAACCTCTCGCTTCACGGGGTCACAATGCGACCCGGCATTATTGGTGAGCCACCCAGCGTCACTGGGTACAGTTATCCGCTGGAGATGATGACGAACTGCGTGATGGTGCCTCTGGCACCCGAGTTGCCCAAGTGGATGTACATGGTGTGGCCCCTGGGCAGATACATCTGGACGTGCCTGTTTGTGGGCACCTTCTACGTGGCGCTGCTGCTGCGGTATGTGCACTGGCGGGAGCCGGGGAATGCCACCCGCTCCATCACCCGGAATGTGCTCCATGCCATGGCCATCCTGATGTTCAGCCCAAACATGAACATGACCGTTAAGCTGAAGCATGCCTCGCTGCGGGTAATTGTCTTCTACACGCTGCTCTTCGTCCTGGGCTTCATCCTGACCAACTACCACCTCAGCCATATGACAGCCTTCGACATGAAGCCGGTGTTCCTGCGACCCATTGACACCTGGTCGGATCTGATCCACTCGCGGCTGCGCATCATCATCCACGACACGCTGCTGGAGGAGCTGCGCTGGCTGCCGGTGGTGAACACCACCCCGCTGGATCCGCAGTTCGAGGCGCGCAGCTGACAGGACTATCAGACCCTGCTGGCGAGTCCTTCGCGTTCCTACGCCTATGTGGTCACCCAGGATGCTTGGCTGTTCTACAACCGTCAGCAAAAGGTGCTCATTCAGCCGTACTTTCACCTGTCCCAGGTGTGTTTTGGCGGCCTGTTCAACGCCCTGCCCTTGGGCCCCAATGCCAGCTTTGGCCCGGCTCTGGACAAATTCATTCTGAACGCTTGGCAGGCGGGACTGTGGAACTACTGGGAGGAGATCGGCTTTCGCTATGCCAAGCGAGCCGGCTACGCGAGGGTCTTCCTGGACACATACCCCGTAGAGCCGCTGAACCTGGAGTTCTTCAACACGGCCTGGATTGTCTTGGCTCTGGGCATTCCCATCAGCTCGTTGGTCTATTGCTTGGAGCTTTTCATCCATCGTCGGAGGGAGAGACGCCCACAATATGAACGCTTTGAATGCTATGGTTAACTTTTGTTTATCCATAGCCCCTTTGGATTTAGCTGAACTCGATTGACAAGCACAAATTATCACAAATCTATAATAACTTTGAATATACATACAAAACATGTGGGATAGTAACTTTACCCATCCTACACCCAGAGAAAAATCACCGTAAGTCCTAATATTTGTACTTTGTATTAAATATTATCGGTACTGATTTAGCCCCAAGGGAGTTTTGTTTAAATTAAAGTGTGTTAAAAAAATGGAAAACTACAATTTTTCTATTGGATAAGCCAATTAAATATGTTAATATTTGCAGTATCATATTTTAAGAATTTTTAATAAGGTTTATTTTAGAAAAAAACTATGTTATATTCAAATATTATAATGTTTAATTTTACTTTAGAGTTTTTCTCTGGGCTGACATATATTAATCGATAAAAGTTGTTGTTACATAGAAATGATCTTTTACTATATAACTTTTTCAATAAAGTAGAATGTACAGTACATAGATAAGCTAACTTGTGAGCCACAAAATGGTCGATGAGTGATTATGCAACATAATGCTTAAATGCGATTTTAATAACTTCGAATTCGATAGGGATTTTAGGGTGCAGCAGGTAATAGAAAACAACGCTCCCCCAACTGAATGTGCAACATGGTAAGTAAATGCTGCTATTATGTTTAAATGGGTGCTAGGGGAGGTCATGTTTAGGCTTTCCCTTGGGACCAATTGAACGCAACTCAAAGAAGAGGTTCCAAACGATTTAACCTGTGTGGATTGTTTAATTAGTTCGAAGAGCTTCTTGGTGGAAGACATGCGAGCAGTGATTTGTCTTTTGTTATTGGCTTCTTGCCATCGAAGCTATGGCTGGAATATGCAATACGTGCTTAATATGTTGAGCCCATTTTCCCGAATGGGCGTGTTCCAGGAGATCGTTTGGTTCATAAGTCCGCTTCAGCGTTTGGACCAGGTCGATGAGTTCGTGCGGCGTATAGACGAGGCCTTTGGAAACACGGCCACTCAGACTGTAGTGAATAATAACACGGACATGCGGATGATTCACTCATCGGCTCGCAGGAACCACATGAGCTTTGTGTTCACCACTGGCGCAGATGATCCCATAATGAAGGTTTTCAGCAAGGTACTACTTGGACGGCACTTTTACTTTTCGATGATAATGTATGTGGACAAAGTGGGTGATATGCAGCCCATTCACGAACTACTTCTCCTTGCCTACAACGAGCAATTCACCAACTCGATGGTGTACTTTGAGTCGGAGGAGGGCATCAACCAGCTCTTTGGCGTGTCCAAATTTCCCTCAATGACATTCGAAAACCGCACAGACTTTATGAGTTACATGGGAAAGGTTTGGAGGAAGGTTTTAAATGCCCGCTCGGATGTGGAGGGATTCGGATTCAGCACCCCCTTGCGCCAAGATCTGCCACATCTGTTTCAGTCGCGAGGAAGCTACGATGGGAGTACCTTCCGGATCATCGACACCTTTGTGAAGTTCATCAATGGCAGTTTCACAGAGCTCCAAATGCCGCCAGATGCCCTCGGTGGTCAGGTGATTAACATGAAGCAGACCCTGCAGTTAATCCGTGAACGCAAGATGGAGTTCTGTGCCCATGCCTATGCCTTGTTCATGCCCGATGATGAACTGGAGAAGACCTACCCGCTCCTGGTGGTTCAGTGGTGTCTGATGGTTCCGCTCTACAACAGTGTGTCCACGTACTTCTACCCACTTCAGCCTTTCGCCTGGAACGTGTGGTTTTTTGCAGTGGGAGCTCTTCTAGCCCTGGTTCTACTGGAGATAATGTGGTTGAGGCTGTTTGGAAGGTGGTCAGGCTACCAAGGCACTCTAATGGACACGTTTTGTTATATTATCAATGTACCCACCGAGGGGCAGCTACAGCAGCCCAGCCTCCTTCGATTTCTCCTACTGGCCACAGTGTTCTTCCATGGATTTTTCCTATCCGCCTACTACACCTCTAATTTGGGCAGCATTCTGACCGTGAATTTATTCCACGCCCAGATCAACACCATGGATGACATAGTGAGTGCCCAGTTGCCCGTCATGATAATTGACTACGAGTTGCAGTTCCTGCTAAATCTGAACAAGGAGTTGCCCGAGGAGTTCCTTAAACTCCTGCGTCCCGTGGATTCGGGCATTTTCGCGGAGCACCAGACGAGATTGAATGGCTCCTTTGCCTATTTCGTCACCGAGGACCACTGGCAATTCCTGGACGAGCAGCAGCAGCACTTGCGGCAGCGGCTGTTCAAGCTGAGTGGCATCTGCTTCGGCTCCTACCACCTCGCCTTTCCCCTGCAGATGGATTCGACCCTGTGGCGGGACATCGAGTACTTCACCTTCCGCATCCACTCCTCGGGTCTGCTCAGCTTCTATGCCCGCAGCAGCTTTGGTTCTGCCCTGCACGCCGGTCTGGTGGAGCGGTTGCCGGAGAATCGGGAGTACACGTCCGCCGGACTGCAGCATCTGGCCATTGCCTTTTTTTTGCTCTTGGCCATGAGTGTTTTGGCCGGCATGGTGTTTACTCTGGAAATTATTTCTAAAGGATCTGCAAGAACACTTGTAAATTACCAATGATCCTATAAGACATTTATAATTAATATTATTCATAAATTTTTCATTGTGAAGTACAGTTTGTTTGTTGCTTACATTTTTAATTCAGCTTGTTTATACATTGTTCATTGTGATGTATGGTTTAATTGCTATTTACTATCGATGGTGTCCCAGAAATCTCGTGTAACATCGTTTGGTTCATCCCAAGTTTAATAAAATATTTAAATTATAATACACCTCAGGATTTTCAAAACGAATTTCAAATCAAAAAATCTATAAATCCGTTAGAGATTTTTAAATAAAATTTTTATACAATAAGTTTTTTTGTTATATAGCTGTCCCACCCAAAGCATAAATTTATGTTTAGGTTTTCTCGGCATGTCACAACTGTATGAATCGCCTGAGAAAGGACCTGGGCTTGCAGAATAGTCCAATGATAGGACGTCGCTTGAGTGTCACATACTCGTGCCATTTCATCTCCGCCGCAAAGGCCAGGCCGGCAAGCAGCAAACCAAAGGTCCAGGTGTGAAGCGCGCTGTTGAAGAAACTCAATCCGAGGGCCATCGGCTGCTCGTCGGGGAGATGCACTTGGATGCGGTGCAGGTGCACGGCCTCCCAGAATGCCTCTCTCTTCCAGTGCTCCATGAGGCCCGCCTGCTGGGCAATCATTATGTACTCGGTCATGGAGGAGCGCAGATGGGAGTCGAAGTGCATGGGAAAGACGTGGTAGAACGGGCCCTCGCAAATGTCCGTCAGCCGGAAGATGGGCTTGCGAAGGTCGAGTTGCTGCACGTTCATAAATCGCCAACGATCGCTGCTCACCGTGTACCCGAAGGAGGTGTTGAATGGCTCTCGATGCAGGTCCAGCATGCGCTTGTCCACCAAGTCCAGCTGGCGCATATAGCTGGCCGGATATTGCTGTGGTGATTCGACCATCCTTTCGTGCTCCACGGCCAGCATTTGGATCCTCAGATTGGCCTCCACCACATCCTGCACCGTGTTCACCTGTCGCGGCGGTGGGGCGCTGGTGAAGTAGCTGGTCATCCGGGAAATGTACATGTTCGAGGTGACTATACCCATGATCGCCAGCACAATGTACAGATAGCGCATACGCAGCGTTGGCGTGCGCAGGATGAAGGTGGGCGCACTGTAGGTAAGCGTGCAGATGGACTGCAGAAATGCGGCGCTGAAATCACGAGGCCTTAGCGGCGAACACAACCAGATGGCCAGGGCAATGTAGAGAGTGAAGAGGATTATGAGTAGCCACACGTTCTCCTCAAGGGCCTCCCGCAAGTACTGATCCGCAGGCGACTGATTGCGATAGGGCACCATTATGCAAACGTCATTGATTTCGATGGGATAGCTATAGCCGACCACGTACTTGGTTGTTATTTCGGTGAAGGAGTGGATCAGGGTCTCGTACACTCCGTGGGACACCAATTCCAGCAGGTTCGTCATGTTCAAATAGTCCGTTGTCATATTCACGCTGGTGTCCAGCAACGTGGCATTGACGAACTCAAGGAATCCCATGAATAAATTCCCGCTGGTTCCGTGGACGTAGCTCTGCTCGAACGTCTTGCTGGGTCGGTCCGACTTGAAGACCCGCGGCAGATCGTACATAATGGGGGTCCTCACCACATAGCCCTTCATGTTCTCCGCATACTTCACGAAGAAATCCTCGGCCCTCCAAACGCCCGTCTTATTGACAACCGAGGGTGTGGGGTAGGGATCCAGCACGAAGACGTTGTCTCTGATGGTAACCAACAATGTGTTCAGAAACTGCTTGCTCCACGCCCAGTCGTAAACGTCCTTGATCTCCGCCGAGAAACGGGCGAACGACTCCAGACTAGACTCAAAATCGCGACTTTCGCGGCTTGGAAAGAGAATTAATATCGTCTTGAGCCAACGTATCCCACGCAGACTCTGAGCAGCCACCTCCATAATGGGATCGTTCCTATCCGTTGTGAAGATCATCACCAGCGATGGAGTGCTGATGAGCTGCCTCATCGGAAAGGCTAAACTGTGCTCCCTCGTTATTATCAAGTTGGGCGCCAATGGAAAATAGGTCCAGAAGTCGTGGAAGAACTTCTGGGAGTCCTTACTCTTCAGGTCCAGTCTCTCGGATATGTAGAAAATAAAGTTCTTAAAGTGATAAAGCTGCGTTATTCTGTAGAACATTTCCAGGACGAATGTGTTGTTGAGTAATTGTACGATTTCGGTACCATTTTCCGTGAGAACGGGAGGAAAAATGTCCCGCTCTTTGAGGATAAGTTCCGCAGCTTGTTGACTATACATATTTATTGGGCGAATGCCAGCGGGCTACTGTCAAGTTGAAGGACGCTGCGCCCTTTGCATGTGAATCCAGTAAACGGTGGAGCATGCCAGCATTTGTCACCAGGTTACTGTCATCAAATTTTGCTGGGTCAAAGTCAATGCCAGTAATGACAATTTAACAGCGCAGGAGCGGATTTAATTCTTCATTTCTCGAAACTATTTTATTCATTTTTCTTCGCTCGGAAAATGGCTTTACTTCAATAAAAGTTAACGGCTCTGTTGCTAAATAAACTCTGCTAGTTGTACATGTTTATTAGCTCATAAGGCCCTATTGCAATTTTATCATGAGTGCAAATCGGACATATTTAACATTTCGCGGTTTATGCGACAAGGGCCATATAATTGGACAAATAGTTCCTGGTCATGCAATGGCGATGGCGTTGGCGAAACCTGCGGCTACGTCCCATCGCTTTGTTGCAGTCAAGTAGAGTCAAATAGCGTTTGACAGGGTCGGAAATGGGTCAGTTTTGGCCGTAGTTTTATCAATGAATTTAAAATGCCTTCGGAGGCAGTCCACAATTATATACTTCATTGAATGCACTTAAATGCAGTGAAACAAAAATTGAAAATGTTATATTAATTGATACCTACACATGTTAATTGCGTTCAGAGAAAAACTGAAATTCCAGAAATAGTTCACAGAAAAGAGGGTATGTATTATTCCCGTAGTCGATATTAAATTTTAGCCCATGGCTCTTTCGCTTGACTAGCTGTTTAACGACATCGAATTGGCAGCATGTTGCACTGCTCATTAAAATTTAATTGCTGCAAAACTCTATAATTGACGCAAATGCCATGAGCTCGGGCGCAGCCACGAAGGATTATCAGGCCGTGTCTTGGCATTCGAGGCCACATAGCTGACTGGTAATGCAATTAGCCACGCATTCCCACACACTCGGTATCGAGCACAAAGGCACAAAGCCATCGTCAGTGTTTGCGGCTTAAATTATTTATGATAGATGCAGCCGGTGGTTTTTCCTTTTAGCTGGCATGCATCTAATGCCCTATTGACAGCACGGCTTTTGTTGCCTTACAAAGCTTTGTTTGCCCGATGATTTGTCAAAATGCTGTAATTTAACGCTTTTGTAACTTGTGTTCAAGTCTTTGGCCGTTACTCGAAGACATTCAATGCGTGGGAAAGGAGCCAGTTGTGGAATACCTGGAGCTATACTTCCTTCATAAGTGTTGAAGTCTGAAGTCCTGGACGAAACCAAGCATTTCGCTTTTTATTTGACAAAGTTTTTTGCTGTTAATGCTGGCGCCGAAAGCGCTTAAATACATTACGCCTTGTTGTGGGCTTAGTGCCTTATACTCTGTACAATGGTAAATACATTTTCATGCATCACCTTGGATTTTCAAATAATAAATGATGAAGTTGATTGGACTTTCATTCTTGGGTATAAAGTTATGCTACAATAAATTTATTAAACGTGTGCCAATTGCCTAGATTATCTAAATTAAATTTAAATCATTTGTTTGCAACATAAATAATGCAAATAAATTAGTTTTCAAATAATAAATGATTAAGTTGTTTTGACTTTTGTTATTGGATATAAATGAATGTTATAGAAATTTATTATACGTTTCCCAATTCCCTCGACTATCTTAAATTATTTTAAATAATTTATTTGTTACAGAAACGTATTTAAACAAACACAGGACAATGGTATGAGTGTAAAATTAATGTTTGTTGCGATGCCATGGCAAAATTTAGTTTTTAATAGAATAAAACCAAATGGTAAACAATTGGCTCTGTCAAAATCGTCATAATTAAATACGCACTCTAGAAATAGCATTTAGCAACGGCGATTGCATTGCGAGTGCCAATCCACTCGACACAATCTGATATTAAGTTATAAATATGCCATCCAGCGTTGCCCTCTGGCTTCTGCTTTGTTTTTTGTTTGCCAGTATCTCATTTCAGCTTTTTTAGTTACACTTTATTTTTGAAACAGTGGGTACAAGTGCTGTATGCTGTGTGGTTGTGAATGTAGATGGGGTAAAGGGAGTGGGGGAAGTAAGGAAGTGGTGGCGAAAGTGGATGCGGGGATGTGTTTTTGCCATTTCTAAGCGGAAGCGAAATGTGCGAGAGTAGTTGAAAGCCCTCGAGTTGTTTCGTTGCCGTTGCCATTGCCGTTGCCGTTGCCGTTGCTCATGTCAAGTGCCAGCTGCTGCCATGCCCTCAAACTCCAACCTCCGCCCTCCAACCTTCAGCCCCGGGCAGCGGACCACGCCCACTCCGACAGCTGGCCTGCACTTTCGACATTTAACGCCGCCCACATGGTTGGCTACCTCCCGAGAGTTCAGGTTAGCTCACCCCCCCTACCGCCACCGCCACCGCCAAAAGCCACCCATTACCCACCCAACACCACCGAGCACCACCCACCACCCACCACAACCCCTAGTGAACAGGTGCATTTGACTGGCACCACAGCATGTGTACCTAGTGTTGGCGCCAGCAACCAACTGTTAAGCGAAATTACCGCAATCTCCGCACGTCGAACACTTTTTAATGCTGAAAAATGTATTTTCTAATTTTCCTCTCCTTGCCAATGTTATGGGTGTTTTTCCTTCGGTCGGTCAAGTTTACTTGGCTTTGTCAGTTTTTGGCAAGGGAAAAGACCAGGTGCAAGGAATGAGCCTCTAACTGGCCAGCCATGTTAATGAAAAGTAATTATTTTTACGCCAAAACTTTAAGCCGCTTCTGAGGAAAGTACTTCACAATGTTGGGCAATGTCGTTTGCGCCTTAAAATTGAATTCTTGATGAAACTTTAATATTACCTGCGCTGTGTTAAGCTAAAAGCTTTCAAAAAAAGACAATTTCCGCAATCTTTGGTGAGATGAAAAGAGGGTAAAAATGGAAAATGGGGTAAGATGATTTGCAGACATTGTTAAAATTTGTGGACCAAGGAAAATGTTAGATAAGGAAAAACATTATTGGACTTAGCAATGCCATATAGAGCAAAATTCATGAACCGATTGGATCTTTATAAAATGAGTATAATATAAATTTAGTTTTAATATTCATAAGTCAAAACTAAGTAGGTAAAACTACTATTATATGTGAAAGTCTCAACTTCAGATTTATTTTAACTTGTTTCTGCTCATTTTGCTTACGAAACTTAACTTTTACCTTGCTGTCTATTCTGCTTTGTGTTTTAATTAAGACCAGACAAGTCTATTAACCGAATTAAAAGCAAAAACGTTTAAAGAATTGCAACACTCCGACGAAGTTTACCCACTTAGCCAACTGCTTGGCATTTTGGCAGATGCCAGAGATTTCATTCTATCAGTATAATTTAGCCATTTTATGCAGCGGCGAGAGAGCAGAAAATAAACGTGAAAAACAAGGAAAAATTCACTTTGTTTTCATGCCTTTTCCTTTCGCGTTGGCCTTTTGCCTCATTATCTGCCTTGGCCGGGAAACGTTTGCCAAATGAGTCAAGCTGAGTGAACCAAGCTTCCTGGCTGCTCCGCGCACTCAAGTGCAACTTTTGGTGAGCAATAATAATGTTTGCAATTAAACTAATGAAGACATTTGCCTCCGCAGCAACCAGCAACCAGCACCCAAGTCGAGTCAATTAGAAGTTGCTCTGCAGTCGGAAAGCAATCCCTTTTATATTGACCACAAAACGAGCAACCGCGCACTGCAATCTGTGCCATGTTAAGTGCCATGTTTTGACAGTGAGCAATATTAATTGTCTGCTTTTTGTTATGGTTCGGTTTGCTCCTGTCCCAGCGTATGACACTGCAGATGACAAAATAGTGGACTCTGAAAAAACCGGAATTTTAATTGGTGAACTTCGCCATGGTTGCGTATTGATTGCATAACTTCCTACACCAAACAAAATATTAATAGCGAAAGAAAAATGTATGAGCTGCGTAATGAGATAACTAAGATTTTTCTTACTACTCTAGCAGTAAACTTTGTTGCATTATGAGCAAAATAGTGTTCCATTTGTTTCCCCTCGGTCGAACGTGCATCTGTGCATTCAAAAACAGCACTGTTTGAAGTGGGATGTCACCAGCAAAATCCCAACTCACCGGATTCCCATAACCATTTCGGATAGCTGAAATAAAGTTTTAACCACACTGTATGCAGTTGCAATCAGGCGGATTTTGAACTTCAGATAAGCCAGCGGGGAGGTTCCTTTTGGGGCAGCAGTCAGCAGGAAATATGCACTAAATAAATTAACAAATCGGTAGAGCCAAAGTAAAACAAAGTTTTCAATTTAATTTAATATTTTATTTTTATTTACTTTGTCGCGTTTGAATTGGGTTTTTCGGTTGCTGTTACAATATTTGTCTGCATAGATTTTCATAATATTTCATTTCTCTGTTAGTTATTATTGTTTGGGGTACCGGCAGTACCTTGATCAGATTTTGTAAATCCCGCATTTAGCATCTGCATTTGGAATTACATTTAGAAATGTATTTGAACGCCCTTTGGGGGCTCCTGTTTGCATTACTTGCATTTCTCGTTTAAAGTTCTCTCATTGGTTTACGGATGGGATTTTTATCATAATGCTTAGTTTATTTAAAGATAAATAAAATCTCTTTTTTGTTTTAAGCAAATGGTTGTATAACTAAATAATTTCTTTACAATTAAAATCATGCGCCAACAGTTCAAAATGAGTTAGCCTCTTGAGTATTTGGTTACCATAACTTTCATGTATTATTCGTTAAGCATTTTATGTTAATTACAATCTTTAGCTAATTTGACACATAAAGCGGAAAACTTAACAACATTTTGTTGGTTGAATTGCCATTTCTTGTGTTAGTTTGCAATGATCTCCAATAGTCACTTACTGCTAGGTGTAATATTTATTATTAATTCTTTTAATTTTTAACATTTACTCCACCTTTACTGTTTCTGTTATCCTGTTACGTTTACTTTTACTGTTACTTTTACTGTTAATTTTACTGTTAGTTTTACTGTTAATGTTACCATTTAAATTTT